CGAGGAAGTAAGATAAGGAGGAGCAGCGCCCGGCAAGAGGGAGAGGACCTTGGGGCTGGCATGGGGCTGTGTGGTCCTGAGCAGAAGGAGGTGCTGGTCTCGGGGACTGCTTGGGGGACTGTGGGTTTCTCTGCCCCACTCAGCAAGCTGCCCTCCCTGTTGTTGCAAGGACGGACTGAAGCATCGCACCCTGCAGGATCTCGATCCCAAACACTGATGTCTTTGCTGGCACACGGGTGCCTGTCCTTGTTGTCAGGGAGAAGGGGACATCTGCAAGAAGCACAGGGGTGACCGCGCTGCTTCCAGAATTGCTCCAGCACTTGCTTATTCCCTCCTGCCTCTGCCCTGGGACCTGCTCCATCTCTCCCCCTCTTCCTCCTGGGACATGCCCCTTTCTCCAGGGGCTGCCTTCAACTGCAGGACCCCAGAACAAGATCCCTGCCAGTGCCTGGCCCTGCTCTGTGTGCTGTGCACATCTGTTCTCTGGTACACATCACCTATGCTGCCAGTTGAGCTGACCCTTGGTGAAGGATAAGGGATAGTCCTCAAATGTCCTTGCCACCTCCTTGGCATTCATCTTCTCCTTCCCTTACCCTGACGCCCCAGCCTTGTTCCTCCTTTCTCAGCCCTGTGTTGCATTCCTCACCCAGCCCTTGTTCTCTCCTCACAGACCACAGCCCCTGGCACCTGCTCTTCCCTTTTTGCACCCTGTTGTCCCAACTCCAGGCCTCACACCAGCTCCATGACACCCCCTTCCATCCCAGCACTGAGGGATGGAGCAGGCAAGTCACAGCATCCCGGTGACACAGGGACCCTTGGCATCCGTGGGAGGCCACACTGGTCCTGCGGGCTGCCAGAGCTTCTTTACTAGGCATGGGCTATTTCCTAGGAAAAGCAGCCACACAGCTCTGCAGCCCACATGAGCCACACTGCCAAGTCGGTGGTGGGCTCAGGGCACAGCGATGTCGCAGAGGCTGTGGGTAGAGGGAGGATGAGCTCAACCTCAACCTTCCTCCAACTGCCTCTATGGGATGACTCAAAATGTGTTCCAGAGCCTGCTGTGGCCAGAGACCTGGGGTTGGACTGGAGAGACAAGGAGGAGATCAACAGAATTTTCTTCAGTTACTGCTTTTTATGGTGTTATAGAAAGTGCTCAAAGGGCTAAGGAGGGGTTCAGAAAAAGCGTGGACAGGCCTGAAATGGGAGACAGCCAGGAAGCAGCTCTGCCAAGTGCAGCCAGGCTGGGAACAGCTACCTGCTAAGCTGAGGATGCTCGACTGGGCAGTAAAATCATGGCAAGGCTGGTGCAGGACCATTGTGATTAGCCTGGAAGAGCTACCGTGTTACCTGTGGTGCAAGCTGTGCCGTCAGCTTGAATTTTGCTCAGAGCCTCCTTATTATATCTCAAGGAACTTCTGATGAGTGGGGAGCCCCTCTGCTACCTGTGTGGGACTGGGAGCCCCAGGCTGCCATCCCAAAGGGATGCCCAGGGGCTGCCAGGTCCTGTCTGCAGCGAGCAGGGACATCTCTCTGCTCTGGGCACCTCAAGGTGTCCCACGGGTGAGAAGGGCGCTCCATTGCCAACCCTGAACACTACCACACCCTTCTAGGATGCCCCCTCCCCAACCCCGCAGATTTTGGCTAATTTGGAATGCTCACTGCCCACACCTGGCATGCCAGTTCCTCTCTGGACCATCCTTTGGGGGAGCAAATGGCCGCAAGAGCCTACCTTGAGATGTCACTGGCTCGGGGGCTGATGGAGAGCTGTGAAGGCTGAAGAGGACGGCAGAGAGGAGCAAGAGCAGCCAGACCCAGCACAAGCAGGCTGCCCTCCTGCATCACCTTTGCGGGGGAGACGCGAG